GTGTGTGTGTGTGTATGTGGTGTGTGTGTGTGTGTGGTGTGTGTGTGTGTGGTGTGTGCCTGTGTGTGTGTGTGTGGTGTGTGCCTGTGTGTGTGTGTGTGGTGTGTGCCTCTGTGTGTGTGTGTGTATGTGTGATGTGTGTGTGTGTGTGTGTGTGTGTGTGTGTATGATGTGACATTGAATTATCATAACTGGGTATGGTGGTGCAGGCCTAGACTCTTAGCGCTTGGGAGGTGGAGGTAGGAGGATTAAAATTTCAGTGTCATTCTTGGCTATATACTAAGGGTGAAGCCAGCCTGGGCTACAAGGTCCAGGAGATCTGACCCTCTCTTCTGGACTCCACAGGCTCCTGCACACACACGGTGCACACACACACACACTTACAGGCATACCCACACAACACAGATAATAATCTTTTTTTTTTAAAGGGGGTGCACCCCTGGTGATAGGGACTCAAGTATCTTGTACTCTCATGAACTATAACACTACCCAGTAGTCACGGCTTTAAGGGATCACACCAAAATATATTTTCTCTAGGTTGTAAAAAGCCCATCAAACCCACCAGCTGGTGGTAACCAGAATTTCCATGAGCTAGAACCTGGAAAATGGGTTTTTTAGAAGCCATTAAGTTACCCCCTTCACTTCATTCGTTGGCAGGAGCCATTCCAGGTTTTTCTCTGCACCAAAACTTCTGGGCCTTCAGTCTTGGATCTGTATCTCATAACTGGAAGAGACTGTGTCTGCTCAAATTGCACCTGTGCTGGAGACCTTAAGGAAAAGCTGGTCAGGGACAGTTCTCCTCAGAAATCAGATATTATTCTAATAATGGTCACTTCTCTAAGGTCATAGGTGAGTTCTTCTCTGTCATTGCAGGGAACTGTCTTTCCTCCTTTCCCTCTAATACCTGGTGTCCTCCCCTCCCTTTGCTAATGCTGTAGCAAACACCAGAGCAGTGCTGGGTTGTGAGCTAGATGTTCCCAAATAGGAAACATTACTATTGCCAATGGTGTCCCATGTCCCCAGGGAGACACGTCACCCTGGAGGAGGGGAAGTTTTCCTTGACAGGCTACACAGCTTTGCTCCTTGTCCTCTACACTCCCCGGAAATAACACGACTTTGTCAGCTAATAACCCACTCACCAGCAAAACCAGAAAACTCGAGGCTGGAGAGAGGGCTCAGCAGTTAAGAGTGCTGATCTTGACGAGGACCTGGATTTCATTCCTAGCACCCACATGGTGGTTTGCAATGGGCTGTAACTCCAGTTCTTCTGGTCTCCATGGGCACCGATATGAATGTGGTGCACCAATATACATCCAGGCAAACATAACAAAATCAAGATTGAATTAAAAAGTAGAAGACTGGAGTGGTATTTGCAGATGGTATATGTACCATATACCAGGAGCACATTCTCCTAAGTGCTGAGAATTACCTGTGTGTAAGGCAAAAGCTCACTTACGTCAATCAAACACAGTAAGGCCCATTTCCACTAAAAGTCTGTATCCCGATTATGTGCCGAAAAGGATCACAAAATGTTTGCCACCAGGCTTTGTTTAGATCTCTAAGCTTACAGATGGGTGAACAAATCTAACATACTTCTGTTCAGACTCTTCTACCCCCAGGAACTCAACTCCTGGGTCTGTGGAGCACTTTTCTGTTGCCTTCAGCCTCTTACACGGTTGGATCTTGCAGTTTGGCATGACTATCACCTGCCTTTTGAGTGGGTTTCCCTGAAATGTCCTAAACCTTCTGATAATCAGAGGCCAAAACAGTCAATACAGAAAATTAGCACGTGTCCTGAAGTGGTAAGAATAAATCAGTTTCAAGTGAAGAAGTTTCTAACGGTGCGCCTGGGTGTCTGGTCTCTGCAGTCCTAGGGTGATGGTCACGTGACATATGAGGTGAACACTTGAGTTGGGGAAAAGAATCTTACAGCCAATCAGATGCTCCAGAGGTTCAGAGGAGGGGGGAGCCACTCTTAAAGATGGGTGAGAACATTAACATTTCACAATCGACGGAACAAATTTAGTGTTATAGACTTCCTCCCTCCATGTTGGGGTTAGGGTGTGGCGATGAGGAAACCAGAAAGATCTGCCTAACTCCTTCCCCTTGCTTACGGCTGCACAAAGTGTGGCTCTAATTAAAAAGATGCCTGAGGGGATGGGGTAAAGACGTGGGAGGTCCAGGGTCTCAACCTCAGCACCCCCATGATGATACTTCTGTTTCTCTAGACATGTTCTCACATAAATTAGGAAAACTTCCCAGGGGAAAGGCCATGTGAAACATTCAGTTGGTCTGCAAGCATCTGACGTGGTGGCTGCCGAGCCTGTTGTTGTGTCAAGGGTTTTAAGCACTAATATCTAAGTTCATATGACTCCTGTCACAAGACTAACTGGAAAAAAAGTGGAGCCCTCTGGGTCCACAGTGGAGAGCAGCAAGGAGCTAATGGATTCATGAGAGTGGTTACTACAGTCCACTCTCTGCCCACTCTGCCACCGTGGCCTCTCATCCTGGTGACCTGGGTGCTGTTGCTGAGGACTTCCTACAGCTCCCACTGCCTGGGATGGATTTGGGGGTAAAGGGCCGTTGAAGCCGCAATCAGAACAACTTAGTTTGTGTAAGAAGAATAATAAAAGTTTTTTCCCCCACAAATGCCATTCAAGCACTTAAGTCTCAAGAGAAGACAAGTTACAGCTAGCTAGCACTGTGATAGTCTGACTGGGACAGAATACAGAAAACCATCAGCCCTGTGTTAATGACCCTACTTGTGTGCTTTTGCCATGTAAGTTAAAGGAATTTGGACCAGGCTCATAGGAGAGAGATTTCCAATGCTAGTTCTAGGGGGCTCAGCAGGCAAGGGCACCTGCTGCTGAGACTGACAACCTGAATTCACTGGACCTACACAGTTGGAAGGAGTGGATGGACTCTCAAGAGTTGCCCTTAGAGTGTCACATGAACACCATGTTGCAAACACTCACACACAAAATACATCGAAAAACTGAATTCTAAAAACTGCACGTTCAGCTATCTTTCCAGGGGATTTCCTTGTAGGATATGTGGGAGTCGGATCCTGTCTCTTAGAACCAATCAGCTGTTGCTTGTTAGTGTAGCATCCTTAAACCTCGGCTCCAGCACGTGCCCAGCACATCACAGAGGCGAGGGAACAGTACTGCGGGCGGGTCTTTGCTGACTGTGTTACCTTTTCATAGCTGCTTAGTTCCCACACACAGCGTGCGGGTCACCAGACAGTGCTTCGATGAACTTTCTCATGTGGAGAGTCTAAAAACATGTAGGGTCTTAAAACCAAAAACAGAGAAAGAAGCAGATGCTGGAGCCGAAACCAAGAGAGGGGAGTGCAAATGGGAGTCAGAACCACACAGCCAGTCAGTCTTAAAGCGATCCAATAGGTGGTTAGAAGGGAAAACCATTCGACAGATTTCAGGAGTGTCTTCAGCAGAACACCAACGCATAGCTCTCTCACCATGCTTTTGGAAAGATTCCGAAGAGCTACGGGCACCCAGGCACTTCAACGTCAACGGCTTTTCCGTATTACTTCTTGGTTTGGAAGGCTTTACCATTGGGGCAGGCTATGTAGATTAATGGGCAGACTGCCTGCTTTCCTGAAGCCCTGGGTTTGTTCACATACATAAATAGAGCATGCTCGTCCGTACCTGTCATCCCAGCACCTGCCAGGTCAGGGAGGGAGGACTAGGGGTTCGAGGTCATTATCTGCTACAGAGTGAGATCAAGACCAGCCTGGGACAGAGATTTTGTCAAAAGGAGGAAGTGGAGGAGAAAGAAGAGGAGGAGGAGGAAGTGGAGGAGAAGAGGAGGAAGATGAGGAAAGGAAGAGGAAGAAGAGGAGGAAGAGGAGGGGGAAGGAGGAGGAGAAAGAGGAAGAAGAGAAGGGAGGAGGAAGAAGAGGGGGAAGAGGAGGGGGAAGGAGGAGGAGAAAGAGGGAGAAGGGAGGAGAAAGAAGAGGGGGAAGGACGAGGGGGAGGAGGAGGAGGAGGAAGAGGAGAAAGAAGAGGAGGGGGAGAGGAGAAAAAAGAGGAGAGAACTAAAGAAAGGAAGAAAGAAATTTCCTTTTAGCTTTTTATTAAAGGCAGGAGACACAATTTGTTTAGAGTTTTCTTTGATTCTCAAGGGACCACAAAAGTGCAAAGGAAGTCAATTTATGTGAAGTTTTTCTCCCTCTGGAAGATAAACTTAAAACTAAGGAACAAAATCTTACAAAATCCTGGGAGATTTTTGTCTGTTATTTTTTTTACTAATTTCAAGGAATCAATCAAGGGCCTGTTAAAATTTTTTTAAAGACAAGTTCTCTTCCTTAGTTATGTGTGTGGCTGTGCTGTGAACAGGAGATGTACAGGTCCCCATGGAGGGCATCAGATCCCTCTATAGCTGGAGTCACTGGTGGTTATAAACAGCCCAACCTGGGTACTAAGGAACAAACGGTGGCCTCCTGCAAGAGCGGTACACTGTCATCTCTCCAGCAACTAGTCACGGACTTTAAAATGCATTTTATCTGGTAGTTCTGATGTTCTTAATTCTAAAACATAGTATTTCAGGCTAAATGCAGTGTTGATGGAGGTGTGCTGTCTATAGAACTTACTAATGATTTTCTTCAGGAAAACAAAGGATACCTTTTGTTTTGTTTTGTGTTTGAGGTAGAACCCCATGTAGCTCAGGCTGGCTTTGATCTCTATGTATAGCTAGGATAGCCCTAATCCTTCTGCCTCACTTCCTATGTGCTGGGATTACAGGTGTGTGCCACTGTGCCAAACTTTGATACTTCTTTATATCAGGCAATCAAACTTACAACCATTACGGACCTTAATCACCTTCATACAAACCAAGATCAATGGGAGTGTAAGTTTATTGAGCACCTATTACATGAAGTGTATTGTTTGATCTTGATCCATTTCAGTTTCTTGGCTCTAACCTCCTAGGGGCCATCATAACTGACTCCCTGATACATTGTATTACCTCAAGAGTCATCAATATTTTTCTGTACCCATAGAAACTTAAGTAACAAAACATGAAGAAAGCTCAGAGAACTATGAGAACTAACCTGCCCTTGATGTTTTGAATTCCACAAATGGACCAAAGCAGCCATCCATGAGGTAATAGAAAGGGCCTAAAGCTACCTCTTTGGGTCGGACACTGCAACCAACCTTAGCATGTCAACAAACTACAAACTAAGAAAAAATTCTGGACAAAGGGGCTGAGCAGGCAGGCACTTGGTCTACCGGGCTGCCACTGCTCAGAAATGGGCAACAGTGGTAAATGAGCTACAGTCAAAATCTGCTCCTCCTGTGCGCGACCCTCTTGTTCTGCCTTTATATACCGACACAGATATTCCTGCAACATTATTTCGTATAAAGAAAAAGCAAAAATGAACTTTTCCAGCCTTTTCTTTTTAATAGGAATAACGAGACCTAAAGGCTAACACAAGCTGACACTTAGAAGAAATGCCTTGGGCCCTTAAATAAGGTTTCTAATTCATTTACATTTCAAGAACTAGCAATTCTAATTACACCACTCTGCTGGAAAGGCCAGTGTGCGCCTTACCTAGACGGCACTGGCAAGAACCAGAGTGAGCACAGGTTCACAGCAAGTAGCTCTTACACTTCCCGTCTTCAAAGGGCTCGCAGCCCGGCCCAGGGATCTCTCAGTAAGCATCTGCAGGGATTTCTTTATCGGATCCCATCTGTACAATCTAAGAAGTGAGTGTGGCTCAGAGCCTAGGAGAGGGTGAACGACTCTCCTCGGGGGACTCGCTCTCCTCCCAACCCTCTTGGATCACAACCATGAAGTGATAGAGAACGAGGCGGTTTGCCATAAACACTGAATGGTCCAGAACAGTGAATTAGCTCTTAACATTATATACCCATCGGTAAAGTCAAGCGGTTGGTGTTAGTCAAGCCACCAGAAGGAGAGCCCCCTCCCCCCAAGTAGAAGTCTCTGTATAATAATTAAGGTGCAGGGGACAGTGGCTACAGATCCTGACCACCTCTTTTTTGTCCCCCTGGTACTAAGAGGAGTCCTACAAGGGTAGACTGTAGGGGGGAAACATGTTAGGCAAGAATCACCCGCACTCGACAGTGACCCTCCATGATTAGTGCCTATGTCTGTGTTAGCGGATGAAACCGAAGCCCCAAGGTCACACAACAT